GTGTTTCATTTTCTTATTAATTTGGGGGACATTAATTAAAATGTTTGATTGGGTATTAAGTGTTCATTTTTGTCGACTAGGAAGCTGAACTGTTTTGACGGCTTTCGAAAGAATTAAAGTAACGGAAATTATAGAAATTTGGCGTTTTAGTCAGGAAAATTGTACTCTTGTGATGGATCTAGGTGTACGTTTTACTTGTTACTGCCACAGAGCTTAATAAGAGTAATAAAATTGTCTATGGCCAAAAATGCGCTACAGAAAAGCTTTATAGATTTGAAGTGAGTCTTGTCCAAAGATTGCTATGATCATTATGAAATCTTGCAGTTTGATATTTACCATTTTTTTTCTTATGAATTGCCTTTGTGTGGGAAGTTTTTATCGGTTAATTGTTGGTTCGAATTTTGTTTTTCAGACAGACGTGTCACAACTCTTTCAACGAGTGAAAAAGGTTCAACAAAGGAAACAAGGACTCGTATTAATGGGCGAAGTCTGCCAGAAACGTCCGATGTAAAAAAACGCAGTGGAGGAAATGTCTCACCAAAAAGTTCTGAGGAAAAATGCACGAAGACTTCTCCGGCCCATTCGCAAACTAGAGAGTAATTTCTTGAATTATTTTTTTATTTTTCACTTTACTTTTAGAAATTTTACTGGTTTTTTTTTAATTAAAAGTTAAGTTTTGAATGGCTTTGCGTGGACTTTAAGTGCAAAACAGTTTTGCTTCGAATACCCATTTTCATAACAGTATTTCAAACTTCTTTATCGTTGTTTTTTAAAGATTATATCCAATGAGGTTTTTACTCCGTAGGTTTTTTATACACCGAAATTTCTCTAGGAAAAGAAATAGTGTTGATGAGGAAGGGAAAGGTCGTTTCGATTCGAAGAATACAAAGGGGTCAGCGCTCAATCGTTATTTAGATTCCGATGAGGAAGAAAGACTTGCAGAAGAGGAGTCGCGTCAAGAACTGTACGGTAAAAAGGTAACATGTTTCCGGTTTTCAGATTTTGTGCTATTTTTTAGTATTCTTTTTTTATGCCACATTATCTCTCGAAGTTGTCGCAGGGTAGCGTGATTAAGCAGTTGTCTCATATTTTTTTAAAATTTTTGCTCAAGTCATATATAAAAGTGTCTGATTTGATTTAGACTCAACTTAGGAACGAGAAAAAAAAAAAGTCATCTTGTACTTCTTTACTAGCTTACTATTCTAACATTTTTTGCCTCTTATCAGTTTTTGTAACCTGATTTTAGCAGTAGGCCTTGAAGCACGCAGTTTTGCTGTAAGATTTTTACAGTTCAGGAAGCGTCATGATTTGTGGATTTGAAACTGCCAACCTTTTTTGGAAAGTAAATGATATTTTGTCAAACGAATTGTATATTTCTTTAGACGTAGTTCTTGAATTTTGCTATGGTCTGGAGCAGCCATCATTGCTTTAAATACAGAAGTATCGCTGTTAAGAGGAACGAAACACTATTTCTACTTTTTTAAGATAGTAAAACATTTGTAGTGAAAAGTTTGAGGTCTCCAATCCTGTACAGATGAGGAGATCTTTAAATAATATCATGTTTGGAACGTTAGACTGAGTATTTTATTAAATTTTTGTGTGCAAAAGCCGAGTTTTTCTTAATTCAATTGCCTACTTTTCATCGTTTTATGACAGGAAGTTCCAGCAACATAACGAAGCGGAAGTTTTAAAAAGGAATCTAGAAGAGTTTTTGTGGAGATTGAAATAACTGCTAGGGTTTTAATTTCTTCTTATCTATGTAGGTGCTAAACTGTTCGATTTCAAAAGTCTTTTTGTTTGAAGTCGTTTCTTTCCTTAAAGGTAATCTTTTTCTGGCTGTATAAAAGTCTTTAAGCTTTGGTAGAATTAGAAAGGTGTATTACATCGTTTAATCACGAAATCTAGTTACTTAGGTTAAATGCTTTTTGGCACTGTCTTCAAAAAATTTTTGATGACGCCAATTTTTCCTTTTCAAATGATGCTATCACAGGAAAATAAGTCAAATTAAGGTTATTGTGTTAGTCACTTCTTTTTTATACCATGTCTTATGAAAATAATGTACAATTTGGGGGATTGGCTTTGGTCAGTGAACAAATGACTAATATGTTTTTATACTTCATAAGAGATTGGTAGTTGTTTAATAATTAGAGGGCGGGGGATTTTTATTAGCAATATCAGAAGCAGTTTTGGAAACCCCACTTCCACTTCTGCTTCCAGCAGTAGTTACAGAAATGTTATGAAATGCTACACTGGTAATCAAAAATCTGGGGTCTGGATCCTTGATCGTTGAAAATTGACTAGGGGGAAGTTAGTTTTTTATATTCAGAAGTCTGCGTGAGAGTGTTGCATGCATTTGCTGTTTCAAGGTAATGTCATCGGCAGTACTGAAGATGAAGCAGTCTGAACCTGTGAAAACAGTGTCGTCAAAAATTGTGGTACGAAGGAAATTACCGGAAAAGGAAAATGCGTAAGTTATTTTAATCACCACTTGGATCTTTGCAGTTAGGTTTTATCTTATATTTTTAGTAAAAATGTTCGTGGCGCTCAATCATTGTTTTTAAAAGCAATAAAAGAGGCGGGTAGGATGACTCGAACCGCCAGTCAGATAGCCGGCTATGGTGGTGGTGCAGTTCCCGCAAAAAAAAGTGTTGAAAAATCGGGGATCGCTGCAGAAGATAGTAAAAATAGTGAAGAACAAGATGAGGTTGGATGAGTTCTTGAGTTCATTTTTTATACTTGTTGGTTCTTCTACATAAAGTTCTTTCTACGTAATGCATTAAAAAAATTTTTTTGGTAGTTTTATTTTCCACTGAATAATTTTTAAATGAGTCATTACTTATTTGAACAAGTATGGAATTTTTCAGGCAATTCAAATTGATGATGAAGTTGATATGGATGAGGCACTTGTAGTTGATACTCCTTCTGCTGCAAATACAGAAATAAGGCGCCAAACTGATGGACGAGGAATCAGCAAAAGAACCACATCAGCTAAAAAGGCTTCGAGTCCTGAATTGGTGACGTCGGAGAAGTGGGCTCATATTTCTTCAATTTTTTATTTTTTGTTTTTATTTCTTACTGATAATACCAGATGTTTTTTGCCATTTAAATAACGTATAAGCATGAACATTACTTTAAATCTTACAAAAGTATGACATCAAATAACAGTTTTTGTGTCTTTAGGGACGAGCGCTCAGTGAGCAGTGATTCAGGGAGGATTGGAAGCAAAAATCTGCTTGTAACTCTAAAAAAAGCAGACGTTGGTAATGTTTTGCGTACTGTAGAAACAAATGAAGATTCCGAGTTGACAAAGAAAGCACGTAAAAGACGGGGCAATGCTAGCGGTTGGTTTTTACAATCATAGTTTTTCCTTTGGTTTATATAAAATAATCAACAATCATCAATTTCTTGACCGAAGAAGAGAAGTCAACTGTGATGAGCACCTAATGTGAAAGAACGTTGGCAGTGAGCAGAAAAGTAAAAAAGTTGGAGGATCACAGAAATCTAAACATATATGAACTTAAGTGTTTTGCTGTTGGTTGGGATAAATCTACATAAAATTTCACTTCAAGGCATTGACGAAAACAAGCAGGAAGCAGCAATGAACGAAGAGTTGGTTGGAGTGAAATCAAAGAAGTCACGTAGTTCAAATGTGCCGGCTGCATTGGAAACGAACTTAAGTGAAATTGGTGATAAACTAGAGAAAGCGGAAGACGTCATTGTGTGCGAAGTGAATAATTAAATAATTTTTTGAACATCGCACTGTTTTGGTACATTGAGACCAGAAATTGTTGGTGTTGTCAGGGCGCAGCGATTAAAAGTACATACTTTTCATTTACAGAACTGCGAAACACCGGAACAAGGTTGGACGAAGCAAAATGTGATGGAAGAAGATAGCAGTGATGATGACGGTTTGTTTTTTCTTTTTTTTGTGAGCTAACGATTTTAGTTAATAAAGTAAGTGCTGATTATATTTGTGAACTACCTTGCTGTCAGCAAACTTTTACTTTTTAAATCTTTTTGGTTATCGGCTGTAAAGTCCCTTCTAGCTGCTGTTGGAAATATCATCTTTTTTTCCTCGAGATGTTCCTTGCGTGGGTTGTATTATGAATTTAGATTTCGAATGTGTATTTAAGAGTACCTTTAATGGACAACACTGTGGTCAAGTTTTTGCGACAGTTCTAATGAAAACTTGAATATTTTTAACTTTAGCTATATGTTAACGTTATCATTAAGTCTTGTAACACTCAAAACTGAATGAATGTTTTGGACGTTCTTGCGAAATAATTTGAAGCTATCTTTTTAAGCATAGTCATATTCAAAATTTTTTTAAATAGCAATAGATAATTTGTCTTCTCGAACTTCTGGCTTAGAAGCACTTATCTCTCTAGCAGTTAAACTTGTACTATGAGTTGTAAGGAGGGTCTTTTAGAATTATTTTTACCTTGTTGTTGCATTTTGGGGACTTATATATTGTTTTTTCTTTCGGGATTTATTGTTCTTGAACTTATAGGAAGGATTTTGGCTTCTTCTCAAATAATACACTAAATCTTTACTTCTAAGTGGTTCATGACTTTACGGGGTGGATTTCTCGAAATCAGAATTAAAAAAATAATAGTTTTTTAATTTTCAATTGTTGTATAGAGTTCAATTAATGACATTACACGATCTTGAATTTGAGATTATGACGGATGAGAATTTAATTTTTTATGGAGAGTGCGACATTTTACAGTCGCTTTGTCAGGTGGTAAAAAGTGAAATCTTACCACTTTTGGTTGTTAACGAAAATGAAGTTCAAGCTTTTTCATTTTTGTCGGAGGAAAGTTGTGGTAAAGTTAAGTGGTGAAAGATTCTGTTTTGCATGTTGGTAGATTGAAATTACTTAATTCAAAGGACAGATTGGTCACTGTTAGTATTTCTAGCTTCATTTTTGTCTGACATATCCTGAGTATTTGATTTTATTTGAAGTTGAACTTAGAAGTATTGCAGTGGCTGCTCAGATATTTTGAATGCAGCCAAAGAATTATAAATTTAGACGACAGACAATCTGACACCATATTTTGTGAAGTGTGCAGTTTTTTTTGCTCCTCCTGGGTTTACTTTCGCAACTCTTTCAGTCATCAGAATTACCACATGTTCATTTAAAAACATTCAATTTTTGCTTTTTATGGAAAAAAATCTTTAATTTCAGAAGCGCAGATCGATGCGGTATTAGCCAGTGCCCATACGGTCACCGTTGGTTTTGACGAGGTATATTTTTTTGCTTTAATTATATACTGTTTGTTTATACACTGTTTTATTGTTTATTACAGGATCCATCTGCTCCTTCTTTAAGTTCCTCGAGTCTTTTTGTTGGTGAAAACAGTCAGATACTTCAGAAGCAAAATCCTGCTCAGTCAAGTGCCAATTTAGTCAGCTTTTCCTGGCAATTAAATTATTTTTTCAACAACCACTTTTTGTATGAGACGAATCTGATAATCAAATTTAATGGCAAGATTTTTAGACAGCGGACCAGGTAACGACACCAGTTACACCCGGAGAGAAGATTATGGAACGCTGTAAATTTTGGCCGAACTGTAGGTTGGAAGAAGCTTGTATCTATATTCATCCAACGAAACCGTGTAGGTAAGGGTCATTGTCATCTTTATGGCTTAATTTCTTCTCTGTTTTTTTTTTTTAAATTTTTTGTATGCTTTGCATTTTTTGCTGATACATTTTTTTGCATTTTTGCTGATTTTTTTTCGCTAAGGAACAGAGTCCTTTTTTTGACAACGAATTTTCAGCAATTTCCCTAATTGTAAATTTGGTGATAGATGTATTTATTTGCACTATCCTTGTAAGTTTGATCGCAACTGTACAAACCCTCACTGCCCTTACGTACACAGTCAAAAGAAGAGGCGAGTTACTTTTGGTTTGATTATCATAAGAAATTCTTGTTTTTAAATTCAATTTCTTTTACATTTAGTTCATGTAATTTGTTTTATCTTTTACGATAGCGTAATTAACCTATTTCAGTGTCGTAACAATTCCGAACTCTGCTTCTGCATCTTCTGTTTCTGCTTCTTCTGTACGGTTTTTTTATTCATTCTGCTTAAACCCTTTGATTTATTGTGTCTCAGGTTTTGCAAAATGTCAATTTTCATTTCAGAATGCAGCAGCAAAAGCTCTTTCTTCTCCTTTAAATGCAAATATTGCATGCAAATACGGTGGTAAATGTGCAAACCCCAGTTGTGTATTTAAGCATCCTAAAGTTAGTTTAACATTAAGCTTTTGAGAGCTGCTGGCATAGTCAGATAAATATTTGTTTTTTTTCTCTTTTTTTTTCTCACTTCTATGTATTTGCCTTTCGCTTACCAATTTTGTAATTTGTTACAGGACATCGTAACGATATTTGTAGTATTTTGTTTTGTAACCTGAGTTCATGATCTTTTTTAGCTCTGTCGTTTCGGTGAACGCTGCGCGAATCGGAACTGCTACTTCAGACACCTCAATATGTTACCAACATCAACGCTTAAATCTTCTGGAGTGGATAGGTATAAGTGGAAAGCTACGATTCCTGCTTAGTTCCAGAATTCACTATATATCAAATTTTGAGTTTATTAAGTAACCTGGTGAAATGGTATCGTTTGTGCAAATCAGAATTGGTTTACCATTTTTTTACTTTAAAGTCTTCTACACTGTTCAGCCGGATGTCCTTTAAAGAATGGTCATGCTTTTTGGAAATAATTTACATTTTGTTATGAGTAGTTTTCGTTATGGATTTCACTTAGTTTTTCATGATACTTTTTACCGCTATACTAGAGGGGGAGATGAAACACTATTTTTGAGATGTTTTTGACAGTTCTTCCTTTGTATATAGATAGTGTTGGCCGAAAACACATGTTTAGCTTTTTTTATTTACGGGTTTGTGTATATTTAATGGAGCGTGTTTCTCTAAGAGTTTTTT